AAGGGAGAGCCTGGTCTAATGCGGAATAAGCCATTAGTCTCGAAACAATGAATGTAGGCACTGCGGCAGCAGTATCAAATTAAGCGGGGCGCTGCAGCGGCAGTATCAAATTAGCAGGGCACTGCGGCGGCAGTATCAAATGAGCAGGGCACTGCGGCGGCAGTATTAAGTGAGCAGGGCACTACGGCGGTGGTATCAACTGAGCTGGGCATTGCGGCGGTGGTATCGAATTAAGCGGGGCACTGCGGCGGTGGTATCGAATTAAGCGGGGCACTGCGGCGGCGGTATCGAATGAGCAGGGCACTGCGGCGGCAGTATCAAATGAGCAGGTCACTGCGGCAGCAGTATCAAATGAGCAGGTCACTGCGGCGGCGGTATCGAATTAAGCGGGGCATTGCGGCAGCGGTATCGAATTAAGCGGGGCACTGCGGCGGCGGTATCGAATGAGCAGGTCACTGCGGCGGCAGTATCAAATGAGCAGGTCACTGCGGCGGCAGTATCAAATGAGCAGGTCACTGCGGCGGCGGTATCGAATTAAGCGGGGCATTGCGGCAGCGGTATCGAATTAAGCGGGGCACTGCGGCGGCAGTACCAAATCAGCCGGTCACTGCGGTGGCGGTATCGAATTAAGCGGGGCATTGCGGCAGCGGTATCGAATTAAGCGGGGCACTGCAGCGGCAGTACCAAATGAGCAGCGCACTGCGGCAACGGTATCAAATTAAGCGAGGCACTGCAGAGGCAGTACCAAATGAGCAGCGCACTGCGGCAACGGTATCAAATTAAGCGAGGCACTGCAGCGGCAGTATCAAATGAGCCGGGCACTGCGGCGGAAGTATCAAATGAGCAGGTCACTGCGGCGGCAGTATCAAATGAGCTGGGCACTGCGGCGGCCGTATCAAATTAAGCAGGGCAATGCAGCGGCAGTATCAAATGAGCGGGGCACTGCTGTGACAGTATCAAATTAAGCAGGGCACTGCAGCGGCAGTATCAAATGGAGCGGGCACTGCTGTGACAGAATCAAATTAAGCATGGCAGCCTCAAATTTCTTTTAACTGATCAAAATTAGATGGGCTTTCTTTGTGTGAAAATTATTGGTCCTGATATAGCTCTTGAAAGCGTCCAATGGCCATCGACCGAGAGCTTGGATCTGCTACTATGAGAGACCTTTTTGAGCTGCTGTAGTTACTGCCCCGATTCGGAAGGAGTGGCTGGAAAATCTTTCTACGGGTATGACTGGTTGGACGATGTTTATTGAACATCGTTTGTATAGTTTTTTTTTAAACCAAAAATGTGTGACGGGGTGGTTACGGTCAGTCATCGACAAAAGAGAGTCAAGAGGGGATGTAGTCTGAGAGCTTCTGAATTGTAGGCAAGAAAAAGGCCTGATACGGTTGGATTGGTGACGGGAGGTTAAAAAATTCTGATGTGGTGACCTCTTTTTCGTGATCGGATTTACTTTGATGAAATAGGAGTTTCACTGTCAAGCACGGAAAGATTGGAGACAGTTGGATGGAGTTTGGGGTTGAATAGAAGTTATTGTGAATTCCAAGCATCTCAGGAAACCACGAAAAGCCAGTATGAACATAGCGTCCAGTCTACGAGCGGTATGGAGTGAGTGGTACCCTGTGTGGAGAATGTGGATACATTTAGAAAGGATGTCGAAAGTTATCGGCTGTCTAGCGTCCGGGCTTGGAGAATGAGAGCACTGAATTCCTTTGATCAAAATAGATGTTTTAGAATTGTTTATTTCAGGAGAGGGGGCACCGTACATTAATTATTTGTGGGAAAAAAATTGGGTGCCGCTTAGATAACCTTTGATTGACCGGGCTTGGAGGTTCTTACTGGTGTTAAGGTAGGAAACGAAAGATGTGATTGAGAGGAGGGAGAAATCGGGAAATGGCAGGTTGTACGAGGGGTGGAAAGCTTTAAATCATCTCCAAGCAGTTAGAGAAGATTGGATGGTTCTGGGAGAAACTGATTGGAGGATCGAACCGAGTGACGCGTTGAGGAGGTTTTAAGGGATTCGTTATGGGAATGCGAGTTGCGAACAGTGAGATACTGGGGTTGGCGATGGGTCCACCTCCGGAGCCAGCGCTCTGAATTTCTGCGAGAATCTGAGACTTGATGGTATTAGGCACGAGGGGTGGTTCCTGAGCTGCAACATTCAGTGGGGTAAGTATTGGGACTGCTGTGAATGAAGTGTACTGAGGTTTAGATTAGAGAGAAGGGTTAGAAGGAAAAAATAAGGAGGGGCCGTAACCATTTGCGGAGGCAGCCTCACGCACGGATTAGCCTCTGGTGCTTAGGGAAGCACGTAGGAAGAGCACGGGCTGCAATTGTCAGCCGAGCCAGCCTGACGTTTAAATCAGCTTCCGGGTGTGTCTGCTATGGGAGCTGGAGGCCACTAAAAAGAAAAAAGGGGTTCATTAGAAATGGGAGGAAAAGCCTGAGATGTGTGGGCCTGAGTTGCAAGCGGAGGCAGCCTCACCCTTCCCTCAGCTGCAGTAGGCCACGGGAAGGGAGTGGGGTTTGTGACATCCTGTAGAGCCTGTACAGCCTGCACCACTAGCAGAGACAGCCTCACGCTAGTGTGAGCTATAGGAGCTGAAGGCCACTGAAAAGGAAAAAGGATTACAAGTAACAGGAGGAAAGACTGAGATGTGAGAGCATATGTTGCAAGCATAAGCAGCTTTGCGCTTGTTTCAGCTGCTGTAGCTGTAGGCCACAGGGGCTTGTGATGTTCGGGGGAAAATGCTGCACAGCTTGCAGAGGCAAAAGAGTTTATTAGGTCAGTAAACGCGAGTCCTAATGCATCATTTGTATTATCAAAGTGAATGTTAAAATCTCCAACAATTAGCGCTTTATCAACAGTAATCAATAGATCTGAGAGAAAATCTGAATTAGGCTACGTTTACACTGGCAGAAAAAAATCTGATTTTTTGCCCACATCTGACACAGATCGGAATTTGATGCAGATCGGAATTTGATTTGTAAACACAAAAATCCACGCGAGATCCAATTTTTTCACATCCGATCTGAGCCACTTCAAAATGTGGATTTTAATCGGATACATATCAGATACCTGGACATCTGACCTGCGTCTAAACACACATATCCGATTCCCCGCAGAACTCCCAATGCGAGGGCGACACGTTTGCCCATAAATAAAGCATTTTAATGCCGGTGAGCTGTATGTGCTCGCATTTTCGTTAATTCATCTCTGTCTCTCGTTAATTCATTCGAATTCATTTAAATAAATATCGTCTTGGCACTACTTTATTTCACTAAAGAATTCTACCTCTAACGAACTGTATAAAAAAGCATACCAAATTAAAATTATCGTCATTTTCTGTTATTTATCCATTCAGTCAGATTTTGAGCTGCAAAACATCCATAACAGCCGTTGTCCATGCTGGCAAGTAATAGCTCAATGGCCACTCGACGTGAATTATATAAATAATTTAATAACATGGCCATTCAAAACCTGAGGGTTTACCATGTGCCTATAAAGCAATCACTCGCAATCATTTTGGGTGGGAATTATGTTAACACAGTTATCGGATACAATTCGTGTCTAAAATGAATGTAAACAGACGGGCCAAAAAATTGGATATGGTCAAAAGATCGGATCTGTGCATTAAGATATGCAGTGTAAACGCAGCCTTAGTATGTGTGACCTGCTGAAATACATCAGCAAATAATTAATGCAGAGGGTGCCAGTTGGATTTCTCACTTGACTATCTTGTGTCTGTTATGTGCAAGCCATATACTGTCTGGGCACTACACTTCTGAGTTCCACCTTTTGTTCAACATTACTGCCATATAGGCCTATTGTTTTTCACAAAGTCATGGACATTTACCATGTCCAAGATGTAGGCCAACTGGTTCACGTCTTCTAGCTCACATTTGATGCAATACTGTCCTCTAATGAATGTCTGAAGTGGTCACTAGGGTACCTGGGGACTTCTGGAAAATTCACAAAATCCCCTTCATACAATGAAAACTGTCATGGCTACTGCATAACACTGCATAAAACATCACTCTTCCAAACAGACAAGTTGTCAGTGTAACAAAGTTAGTAGGTCCTTATCCTTCCGGAGCTCCTCCGTAGGACTCGAGACCGGTGAGTGGTGCAGGTGTCGCGCATTACCATTAACTCCACCGGTCTCGCTCTGTTCCCACGGCTCTCGGCCCCGCCCCTCTCGTCACAGTCAGTTTCATTTAACACTTGATCCATCAACTTGACACTTGATCTCAATGCTTGTTTGCAGCATTGTTCACCGTGATCATCTCACAGTGTGTTTGCTGCTAGTATTTATATAGTTTATAGTTTAAATTTAGTTAGATCATGCACTTGAAAAGGTTTCCCAAAAATAAAAATACTCCATAATCCTGGTCCTGGAGACTCCCCACTCTTTTTTCTGATTTAAGAAACTGATACAAACACTTTTTGCATCTTATACCCTTACAGACATGTGGTGGTCCTTGATGATAAAATATTCAATCACCAAATCCACTAGATCACAAATTGCTGTCTTCTCCTCCCCTTTCCTGAACAGCTTGCTCTCATTGTTTAGTTTGTTTCTTGCTGCCCCACACAGCTTCTTAAAGGGGTGGTTGACTGTTTTTTTTTCTAGGCTTGATTATGTGAAAAATAATGCGTCTTTTAATAAACGAAGCATTAACACAATTTACCTTTAATCCACACCTCTGTCCCTTCTCCTCTGAACGCGCTGATCATTTCCTGTTTTTATGAAGCCCCTGCCTCAGAAATACACGATGGGCTCTGATTGGTTAGCTGGCCCAGTGTGTTGTGATTGGCTAAACCGCCTCTAGCATGTCTAAACATCCCGCTCCTCAGCTCAGCGGCATGTGCTCCGGTTGTATTGTAAACAATGGCGTCGTCTATTGTGCTCATCAGTTTGAGCCCGATTGAGAAGCAGAGGATATTATTGAAGAGGATCGCGCAGAACCTGTGCAAGCATGGCTTTTAATGGTAGGCCTATGTTTTTTTGTTTGTTGTTGTCTCATATTTTTATGCTGTTATTTGTAAATGCTACTGCTTCTGTTAGCTTTTAATATACGGGTTTATTCTGTTTAAGCTTTAATACAGTTCGGCAGCCGCACGCATGTACAGTGGTGTGAAAAAGTGTTGGCCCCCTTCCTGATTTCTTTTTTTTTTTTGCATGTTTGTCACACTTTAATGTTTCAGATCATCAAACAAATTTAAATATTAGTCAAAGATAACACAAGTAAACACAACATGCAGTTTTTAAATGAAGGTTTTTATTATTAAGGGTTAACACACCCAGCTCTCAAACGAGAGGGGAGGGGCTCGGACCTACAGCATGTTCCAATGTTGGAACTGCTAGCAGTAAGTTACCTAGCTGAGGGAGCATAGACCCAGCTCTATTGGTTAGCTAGCCCAGTGTGTTGTGATTGGCTAAACCGCCTCTAGCATGTCTAAACATCCCGCTCCTCAGCTCAGCGGCATGTGCTCCGGTTGTATTGTAAACAATGGCGTCGTCTATTGTGCTTATCAGTTTGAGCCCGATTGAGAAGCAGAGGATATTATTGAAGAGGATCGCGCAGAACCTGTGCAAGCATGGCTTTTAATGGTAGGCCTATGTTTTTTTGTTTGTTGTTGTCTCATACTTTTATGCTGTTATTTGTAAATGCTACTGCTTCTGTTAGCTTTTAATATACGGGTTTATTCTGTTTAAGCTTTAATACAGTTCGGCAGCCGCACGCATGTACAGTGGTGTGAAAAAGTGTTGGCCCCCTTCCTGATTTCTTTTTTTTTTTTGCATGTTTGTCACACTTTAATGTTTCAGATCATCAAACTAATTTAAATATTAGTCAAAGATAACACAAGTAAACACAACATGCAGTTTTTAAATGAAGGTTTTTATTATTAAGGGAAATTATTCACAAATGGCAAAAACATGGAACAGTGGAGAACCTTCCCAGGAGTGGCCGGCCGACCAAAATTACCCCAAGAGCACAGCGACGACTCATCCAAGAGGTCACAAAAGATCCCACAACAACATCCAAAGACCTGCAGGCCTCACTTGCCTCAGTTAAGGTCAGTGTTCATGACTCCACCATAAGAAAGAGACTGGGCAAAAATGGTCTGCATGGCAGAGTTCCAAGACGCTGCTGAGCAAAAAGAGCATAAAGTCTCGTCTCAGTTTTGCCAGAAAACAGCTTGATGATCCCCAAGACTTTTGGGAAAATACTCTGTGGACTGACGAGACAAAAGTTGAACTTTTTGGAAGGTGTGTGTCCCATTACGTCTGCCGTAAAAGTAACACTGCATTTCAGAAAAAGAACATCATACCAACTGTAAAATATGGTGGTGGCAGTGTGATGGTCTGGGGCTGTTTTGCTGCTTCAGGACCTGGAAGACTGTTTAACACACCCAGCTCTCAAACGAGAGGGGAGGGGCTCGGACCTACAGCATGTTCCAATGTTGGAACTGCTAGCAGTAAGTTACCTAGCTGAGGGAGCATAGACCCAGCTCTTAATGAGAGAGGGGGCTCGCACAGCAGGATCATTAGAAATCAGAGGGTAAGCGTACTGCAAGCTAGCCAAAAAACTCAGCGCATCAGAGAGGCGGAGTGAAGGGTCTATGTTCACCTGACGCTGCTGGTTCCAGGTGCTCTGGGAAAAACAGAGAACTCAACTCTCATGTGAGAGGAGAACTCCGAATTCAGAAAGAATAGCGCGCTCATAGGCAACCCTTTGGTAAAAGGG